ATTACAAATATAATGGCATTATATTATAATTATAAATATTACTACAAACATAAAAATAATAAATTTAAAAGATAATACTAAACGACAACAGATAATCTAGGTGGAGGTGACCTGTCACATCTAGGTGGGGGCGACCTGCCACAATGTGGGCGGGGCTTATTGCTCCTCAATTATGCCATTAAAACCAAGCCACGCCCACTACATACTTTTGGCAATCTGGTCGATCGAACTTCTTTAGCTATCCAATCACAACAGCAACAATAACAGATAACAACAATAATAAATAGCAATAATAATAAACAATAATAATAAATAATAATAAACAATAATAATAAATAATAATAAATAATAATAAGCAATAATAATAAATAATAAAAAAATGACCTGAGATTCCTTAAAATGTGTTTTTATCATGGCACCAATATTCTGCGTATGTGACAAGTCGAGTGCAGCATCCACCTCGTCCAATATATAAATGGGGGCCGGCTTGAATTTGAGCATGGCGAGCACAAGGGATAAGGCCACCAGCGAACGCTGACCTGAATTTTTTGGCATTTAATTATTATTATTTAAACATATAAATTCATTATTATTATTACTATTAATATTACTATTATTATTATTATTATTATTATTACTACTATTATGAAAACATTCAACAACAACCATAACACAGACAAATGATGAAAATAACAATGAGTTGATAATAAACAATAAATAATAATAATAATAAAAAGTAATAAATACCTCCGGACAGCTCCCCCAACGACTCCTTCCACTGCCCCCTGAATGCCACCTTCACCTCAAGACCGTCCAGCGCCGACTTCGCGCCTTGTGGCGGGTCCAATTTGGCGCTTGTTCCGGGTAGTAGAGTGGAGAAAATATTGCCAAAATCCTGAATTTCACTTAATAATAATATCAAATAATAATAATAATATTAAATAATAATAATAAATACAAATCAACTCACCCTACTGACTTGTTCGTGTGCCTTTAAAATCTCGTGTCTCTTCTTCTCATCTAATTTTTCGATAG